CAAATTTTTACCCTTTCTCTGGGCTCTCTCTGGCCTTCTTGAGGTCTTGCCCCTGACTTCCAGGCTCAGGTGTGCACTCATGAATGTCCGCCCATGCTTCAGGTGTCCACAATCAGGCACGTGTGCCCTGTGCCCATGCTTCCAATTGCCTCTTGCAGTAGTACCATCAAGGCCATAAGTGACAGCCACAGAGGCCAATGGCACAAAAAGTCTGATCAGTTTCAGTTACCCTGCAGGCAGTGTGAATTAGGACAGGGAAGAGAGTCAGTGCATCAGGGAAGATGGAAGCTTTGGTAATTTAAAGTACTGAATTCTATTTCTCTATCAGCCAGCTTCTGGATACCCTGTGACCTAATGTGACTTACACAAACTCTGGGACTCTTCTCTATTCTTTCTGCTTTTTCTGACCCTGGCATTGAGTGCATTTTGTAATCTATGCCTTTCCATTTATCCAATCCCTACCTATCCCCTAGTGAGGTCCAGCTCAGTTCTTTTCTGCTGTAGATGATCTTTCCTGACACTACAATCTGCAGAGAACTTTCTCTAACAGGAATTCACAGAACCTATTGGTAGTACTGGTCAGCTGTGGTTCATAAGTTTCCTTAAGCTGTATCTTGCACTATTCCATCCCTTGAGAACAAAGACCCTTTACCATACTTCTCTATTCCTCAAATACCTAGCAAAATCGGAAGCACAGAACAGAGACTGAATGTTAAAACACTGATAGCTGGATGAAGGCTGAAATGAGAATGAGCCAATCATTTACTTGCTATCTAACAGTGTTTCAAAAGCAAAGCAAAAAAAAAAAAAAAAATTGGTTATTAGGGTGCTTGGAGTCGGTTTTCATCTGAATCTGAAAATGCCACATGTACTCTAGGTATTCAGGAATCTAAGGTCTGTTATGAAGCCCTCTCTTGCCTATGAAGAAACAAGAGCTCAGTGTCAAAGCATTTGTAAACCTGGGCTTCCTAGGTGGCACAAGACACGGCACTGTCGAGCCAGCCACTGCAACATGAGTGTGATGCCTGGCCAGGGCGCTGACACACATGACGCAGCAGATCTCTCCTCTCTCACCCATGCTCTCTTCAGCAGTGTATTTCAGCAGATCTGCCTGTCCTGCTCACCACTCTATCTGTTGAATCCTTGCACCCCTTCTACCCTTGTATACTGGCCAACATCTGAGCTCCTGTATGCATAAATACACAGTTCTTTAAAAAAAGAAAAAAAAGCATTTATAAATCTAATCAAACAAGGAACAGCCTAAAAGGAGCTCAAGGCCACTAAAACTAAGGATTTTTTTTTTAAAGATTTATTTTACTTATTTATGCATACAAGCACTGGGGTATAATCCAGAGGTGTGTGGATGGGGAGGGGTGAGAGGATTCACCAGAGACAGAGTGGGGAACAGAACAGACAGGCAGACTAATGCAGTACACAGCTGAGGATAGCAGCAGGCGAGACAGGAGAGGTCTACTGTGCTACGTGGGTCACCTACCTGGTCGGGAATCAAACTTGTACTGCAGTGGCTGCAGAGAAGCCCAAAGCTAGTGATTCTTTTTTTTTTTTTTTAAAGATTAATTTATTTATGCATACAGAAATGGGGTACAGGTCAGAGGTGCATGGGCAGTGCTGTGCCATGTGGGTCACCTCCAGGGTGGGCAGGGATCAAATTCATGCTAAAGTGGCTTTAGCTTCTTAGTCCTGTGCTGGAACTCACTGCGCTACCAGAGAGGGCCTGATTCTTAAGGAAGTAATTTGCAGGTGTGTGTCAAAGACTGAAAATTTTATGAACGATGGGGCCTTCTTCAAGATAAAAAGATATAGGGCCTTCCTAGTGGTGTTAAATTTCAGCACTATTAAGCTACAAGCAGCCACTGCAGCATGAGTTTAATCCTTGGCTAGAGAGCTGACCCACATGGTACAGCAGACCTCTCTAGTCTCACCTACTGCTCCCTTCAGCAGTGTATTTCGGTCAGTCTATCTGTTCAGCTCCCCACTCTGTCTCTTGTGAATCCTCTCATCCCCACAACTCTGGCCTACACCCCAGCTCTTGTATGCATAAATAAAATAAATCTTAAAAAAAAGAAAAAAGACATGTACATATTTTACACACAGTCCCAGAATGTTCAGTAATTCTCTAAATAGTGCTGATTCCACCTGCATGAGGTACCTGGAGTCATCAAATACCAAGAAACAGAAAGTAGAACAGTAGTTACTAGGGGCTGCAGGGAGGAGAGATGGGGGAGATGCTGTTTAATGGGTACAGTTTTAGTTTGGGAAGATGAAATGTTCTGGAGGTAGGTGGTGGTGATGGTTACACAACAAGATGAATGTATTTAATGCCAGTGAACTGTATACTTAGAAATAATTAGAACAGTAAATTTTATGTATAATTTAACACACACACAAAAAGGAGTCAAAATGAAGAAGCTTTACAATCAATCCCAGACAAATATGACACCTGTGTATATAATATAAAAATGCATACAGTTTAGTACACTAGAAAATGCACAGTTTTTCAGTCATGCTGAGGGTATTAACTGATTAAACAGCTTTATCCTCCATGAAATGAGAATTAACAGAAAAAATGTCATTTATCTTTTGGACATCTGAAAAGAAACCCCAGTGTGAAACACTGGGCTTTTTAAATTAAGCAGTAATGAATTTATAATCATCAAGTTGAAATGCCTCAAACAGAGGTTAGAATGTGTCTAGGGTTTGTCGGAACTTAAAAATACACCAGTCTCTTGCCAGAGAAAACGGCAAAACTGGACAGGCAGATCTAGCAGAGTCCTTTCTTGTTTGCTATCTTATTGAGTGTTATAAATTCCAGCTAACTCCTATCCATGATCTTCAGGTTTTATTTTAGGAGTACTTTAGAATTAACTTGGGGATTAAGCTCTTGATTTTTTCTTTATATTTAGTTTGCTGTTAACAACTGCAGGCCCTACTGCATCCCTTATCCGGTTCTTTGGGGAGGTGTGAACACACTTAAACGTTAAGTGACAGCAGTGTTCATAGGTGAAGAGAGAGAAGTGCCACCACACAGGCTGGAGACTAACAAGGCAATCAAATATTTCTGATTTGATAGTGCTGAGAATAAATCCATGTTCATCCTAGTGCAGCCGTTTAGAACCCTTCAAAGCAGGGACGAAGCAAAAACTATTTGGAGGACAGTTTTGAAATAGTCTCACCCTTTTTTCCCTCCCTCTAAGCCAGAAGAATGGTAAAACTGGTCACGAATGAGGAAAACTCTGAAAGCAAGAACCTCACTATCCAACACCACACCTGTATAGGGAGGCACGTAATTATTTATTGACTAAGTAAATAAATCTTTTGAGATCTTGTATCCCTTCTACATTCCCAGGGAGAGACACGGACTTTCCCTCTACATATGAATAGAAATAGCCTCATCTCAGATTTGTGGACTCTTTGAGAGGCACTTTCATCACTTCATTTAACTTTGAAAAGAAGTTGGGGGAGGGCGAGGACACGTGCTTGCTAATCATCCCTTTCCAGATTGCCTTATGCACCAGAATGGATTTTTATTATTGGTCTGTGGCTGCAACTGCTGTAGAAAAATTTCAGCTTGACCTTCCCAAGCTGCTGGAGGATGAATACTGCACGTGGCTGTCAGGGAAAATATGTCTTTTTTTTTTTTCCCTTTAAAGCTTTTAGACTAACCACAGCTCACTGTGGTAGGAAAGTCACCCTTTCACTGTACAAAACTCAAGATCTTGAATTTGTTTGCATAAAAATGACAGAGAAACCACTGATCTAAACTGACCCAACAGGGAAGAGCAGCACCTCACAGAGGGGCAGTATCAAACAGTGGAATTCAGGATTGACCCTCCAGCAGAAGAGGAAGAAAGAAAACAAAGCCATTTATAAAAGCAGTTTAAATATGAGGGTGGAGCCTCACAGCTGACCTCACAAAAGAGAACAAATATGTCAAAGGGAACAACAGACGACTAGAGTCTTACCCATCTGGCTGAGGAAAGTGCCACTGGAAAGAATACTGAGAAGTCTGTGTGTTAGGAAAAAAGACTTGCTTGATGCCTCACTGGGAGAGCTGAACAGCGTTCAGGAACATTGGAACACATGGATACACCACAGCTGGCTGGCGCTGCTGGCAAGATGCTCAGAGAAGGTTACAGTGGCGCACTGGCAAAAAAGGGCCAGCAAAGCTTATGCTGTTTGTTTGTTTGTTTTTCTTTTTGTTTTGTTTTTTTTTAATTAACTTGGAGCCTTTACCTAGATTCTCACCTCAGGAATACCCTGGCCCCTTCAACTGGGGAGTAGCGGGGGAAGAAGGACTGTGTTAATAGGTTATCTCATTTTGTGCTTTTGTACTTTTAGGACTCAAGAGTCTCATTCTGAAGCATCAAGTTCAATCCCATGCCATGTTAAAGCCCCAATTGTACTTTTATATAACAAAGAGCCAAGTGCAAGCATTTTGGGAAAAGGGGAAATCAGGCCAGACTCAAGGAAAACAAACACACACCACTATCCTATCTGCATCTCCAACTCAATCCGCACCACAGAAAAACCTGCTCAGAAATAATTGCTCAAGGCAAACAGAACTCAATTACTAAGGAAAATGTGTACCAGCGAGGGCTCATGTTTTAAAGGGAAGCCAAATAGCTTCAAATTAAACCAAGCTCAAGAATGTTCTAAGTTCTCATTTCTTATTTTCAAAAATCAAAATAATTCTCTGCCTAAACTGTAAAAGAGAAATGCCTTCTCACCCACCTTAAAATAATAATTCACCAAATTTTCACCTACATATCTTGTATGTATTTAAACAACACCCTCATATAACACAAAGCAGAAACCATCACTCTATTTAAAGTACAATTCCATTACTAATTCCTCTTAGCAGGCTGGCTTTTGCCACTCCCACTGGAAGTTCAGTCACAGAATTCCTTTGCCATCAGAAAGACAGCCACTGCTTGATCTGAGCCACCAAGTAGGTCACTATGGAGAGAGTGGAGGCTTACCTGTTCTTCTGACAGCTGGGATATGTGATTCACAGCAGCGTAGGATTCAATTTTGGGGTTAAAGTGGTTAACGATGGCTCTGAAACAAAGAATTAACATTAATGTAGCACCAGATGGGAGAAATGGATAAATGAGTTAAAACAAAACAAAACCAAAAAACTAGTATATGAATCCTCTGGCTCAGAATACTAGAGTGAGGCAGTGGGATGTCAGAGGACAACAATCCTCTTATCCAACATGAAGTCACATGGGGATAAAATGGTAGTTCTGAAATGGGAGGGTTAATGATCTACTAGAAAGACAGAATCAAGTATCTCTGTTTTACAAATGACCTAGGTGAAAGCCCCCAAGCCCCACAGAAAAAAAAAATCAAAACACAAAGGTTCTTCAGCTAAGAAACAGGATCCAGGGGCCTAGCCACTAGGGCCCTGTGCTTTGGTCAGGAAGTAGCTTCCTCTGACTTGGACAACAGGGCACTCAGTAAGACAGGACAAAAACAAGTCTTGATGAGGTTGAGTTTTTTCCAATCCTAGCAACAGTCTTCATACTTGTTTGCCAGTATGTGAAATCAAAATTTTATTTACAGCTATTCAAAGCAAAATCAGAATGTCGTTTTCAAAAACCCCCTTCTCCATTACCTCCTTCCACTCAAAGTCACCCAAGTCTTATCAAGCTTACCACTTAAAGGCTTCCCTGCTGACACAATGGGTTAAAGTTTCAGCACTGTGAAGCTTCTGCGGGCCACTGCAGCACGAGTCTGACCCCCCCACCCCACCCCCCACCCCCGCAGGGAGCTGATCCACCTGGAGCAACAGAGCTCTCCCGACCTGCCCACTGCTCCCCTCCAGCAGTGTATTTCAGTACATCGTCTGTTCTGCTCCCCACTGTCTCTGGTAACTCCTCTCACCCTCCATACCTCTGACCTGTGCCCCAATACTGTATGCATAAATAAATCTTTAAAAAATCAAACAAAACACACACACACAACTTACCACTTAAAATTCTTTAAGCTGGAAATAAATTTCTATGAAACCAATGTTTTGGTACAGATCTGAGCCATATCTTGTGTGGTGTAACCTCCCCTCTACCCCCAAAAGGGGCAGGCTTTAGGTTAGGAATTAACATGAGTCCATATTACCATAAAACGTATTAAATAAGTGGGGAAAATAGATCTATTTTTCTAACAGAACAACTTCAAATATTATATGTAGATCTTTTCTCCTTTAGGAGAGAGTTTAATACTCTTTTCCACTGAGGGTGGGCTAGACTTCGTGACTTATTTTCAAAGAACAGAGAAAGTGAAGAAACCTGGGGAACACCACTTAACCAAGAGATGAAGATGAACAATGCCAGTGATGTCATATATTCCCTAGCAGGATCTGATGAAAAGGAACTGGAACTCTGTTGTATACTTCAAAAAAAAAAAAAAAAAAAACCCATAACTTCCATTCTACTCATGAGAAGAGCATCAGAAAGACCCAGGCTGGGAGGTCATGTATAAAATACCTGGCCAATACTCCTTAAGACTGTCAAGGTTGGGGCCTCCCTAGGGGTTAAGTCTCAGCACTATTACCACTACAGCTTGAGCTCGACCCCCTGCTAGGAAGCTAACAACACACATGCTGCGGCAGACATTGCCTGTCCTGCCTTCTGCTCTCCTTAGCAGTGTGTCTCAGTAGATGTGCTTACTGTTCTACTACCCCTGCCCCAAACCCCTGGTCTCTGGGGAATCCTCTCACACCCCATAACTCTATCCTACACCCTGGCTCTATGTATAAAATAAATTAATCTAAAAATATAAAAAGTAAAATAAAAATCATGGTTTGGAATCCTAGTGTGATTATTTGTTTTTTGAATAAATTTTGACAAGCTGTATCTATCATTGAGAAAAAAGTAGGAATAATACTTAACAATTTAAAACTTAGCACAGTACCTAGGATAGTACTATTAGGCATACAATAAGTATTTATTGAAAAAGACTAAATCAAAGGATTCTTTTATAATACAGCAATGATAAACATTTAGTGCATTTCCTGGCACACAGGTGGTGCTCAATAGATATTACATGAATAAATAAATCAAATAGGATAGAAATGGGTCAGAAGTAAGAGTAGAGTTCTGGTACCTTATTTTTCCAGAAGCTAACAAGAAGGGTAGAGATGTTATCTGCAAATTAACATGGTGGTTTGGTCTAAATACAAAGTGAGGGAGAATTTGTGACCCAGTGAGGGTGAATATGAAAACACTGGCAGGGATAACCATAGTTCAGGAGCAGAAAGGAAAACCTGGAGCCTAAGCCTGATGAGAACACTGGAGAGAGGGACAGGGTTAAAGATGCACCGAGAATCCCACCAAACCTAGCAACTTAAAGCACACTGGCTGAGTCAAAGGCTCTAGCATTTGCAAGCAATAGGATTGAAGGAAAGAAAGCCAAGGGTCAAATAAATCTACTCTAGCCCTTAGGTCCTGACAAGAAAGAATCTGTATTTTGTAAATGCATCTATCTCATGTACAGGTTTTGTGTGTGTGTGTGTGTGTGTGTTTTTTTTTTTTCCTTAAATATTTTAGTAAGATCAAAAAAAAAAAAAAGGTTTTTTAAAAATCCTGAGTCAACTGAACTAGGGTTCTTTGTCTGGAAGACAGAAAACTTCAAGGTAGCCCAGTGACTGGGGGGATGGCAGCAATAACTGAGGTCCAGCTGGTAATCCCAAGAAGATGGTGAAGTTCGGACAATGAAATAGTCCAGGAATGAAATATATGGGATGCTGTGATTCTCTTCCCTTTCTAGCTAAGGAGTCCCCTTACCAGAAAGAAAAAAAAAAAATGCAAGAAACAAAAGGAGGAGAATAGGAAAGAGGAGGAAGGCAAGACAAGCTGGGAAGGCTCAGAGGGAGGGAGGAGTAAAGGTATAAAGGGAGAGAAAGCGAAACCTAGAAGATGCTGATGCTGAATCAAAGAGCACACTTATTTTCCTCCCTTCTTACCACTGTATCTTCCAAATGCCAGTGGGGTCCAAGAATGTCCTGTGTTTAATATGGCAGGGCACATATCCTGGTATTTGGACAAACTCATTATACCTTTGGATAAACTCATCCTGAGAATATGAAAGATTTGCCACTCTAGGAATATATATTCTGAATGAAGATAAAAACATCCTCCAAATCTAACCTTTGAAAGTCTCCTTCCAGAATTTCAGATCTTCACAGGAGATCAAGATTTCCCACCAGACAAGTCTAGGGAATATCTGGAAACCTGAGAGAGGAGAACAGTCTAAATCCAGTGAGAAATCTCTAACTTAGTATCCACAAAGGGCACAGGGTGTAGGGATCTTCCTTACTTTCCTTGCTGCTGTCTGTAAAATCTGAGTACTAACTTCATTTATTAGACATACTAGGAGCAGGGCTTAGTCTTAAATAAGAGGTAAGAAAAATAGTCCGACACTGGCTGTTTTCCATTCATTCTTCCACAAGGAATTGGAAAGGGTCTTAAGTTTCCCTTATTAAGGTTCTCAGAACTTCACACTATTGAAAGGGCAATATGTCCTGAGGTAGCAAAGAAATGTCAAAACAATGAAACCAGCCCTTACTGCATGACATATGCCTTTGTATGACTTCCCAGACGTTTGATGGCTACCAGGGTTGACCTCAGTTGAGGTCCCACTTGATTTTCAACAGCTCTGAGCCTTTAACCCCTGAGCTACCAGAGAGGTCCCTATTTTCTCTCATTCTGTGGGTTGCCTGGTCATTTCTTTGATGGTATCATAGCACAAAAGTTTAAAACTTAACCTGCTTTTTCTGTGTCACTTGTGCTGACCTTGCGTGGTCATGAAAATTTACTTACTAAAGATTTATAGTGTTTAGATCATACATTTAGATCTGTGTTTTTTTTTTTTTTTAAAGATTTATTCAGCTCAGTCCTAGACTAGGATTCAAACTTGACTCACAGTGGGAGAAAGATGAGGTACTATATTTAAGGATGTGGAAGGTATGAGTGGGCAATGCGTGAGAAAACACATCCATTATGAAAAGATTACATACAAAAGAATGAAGTGGAACTATCTCATACCATAGATAAAATTAACTCAAAATAGATCACAAATCTAGGGCCCTCCCTGGTGGCACAACAGGTTAAAGTGCAGCACTACAAATCTACCTGCAGTCACTTCAGTGAGTTCAATCCTCCATCAAGGAGCTGACCCACATGGGACAGCAGACCTCTCCTGTCTTGCCCACTGCTCCCCTTAGCAGTGTACTTTGTCAATCTGCCTGTTCTGCTCCCACCCTGTTTCTGGTGAATCCTCTCACTACCCCTGCACCTCTGGCCTGTACCCCAGTTCTATATACATAAATAAGTAAATCTTTAAAAAAAAAAAAAAAAGGAAAAGGCCTTCTCTGGTAGCGCAAAGGGTTAGGGCGCAGCACTGCAAGCTAGCCGCAACCGCTTCAGAGTGAATTTTTGATCCCTGCTGGGGAGCTGACCCACATGGCTCGGCAGACCTCTCCTGACCCACCCACTGCTCCCCTCGGCAGTGTACTTTATCAGTCAGCCTGTTCTGCTCCCTACTCTGTCTCTGGTGAACCTCTTACCCCCCCTGCTCTTCTGGCCAGTATTCCAATCCTGTATGCATAAATAAATGAATCTTAAAAAAAAAAAAAGGTTATACAGAAATTGGAGCTCTCATACACTGCTGATGGGATTATAAATCAATGATGCAGCTACTTTGGAAAGTGGTTTTAATATCTCCTCAAATTCTACATATAGAATTATCTTAAATTTTATTCCTAGGTACATGCACACAAAAAATGAAATATTATGTCCATACAGAAACATGAGCACAAATGTTCATAATATTCACAGTAACCAAGAAGTAGAACAATCCAAAATGTCCATCAACTAATAGATAACCAAAATGTGGTATAGCTATAATAGAACATTAGTTATAAAATAAAATGAAGTGCTGATAAATGTTATAACATAAATGAACCATGAAAATATTATGCTTTATGAAAGAAATCACACAGAAAAGATGACATATTATATGATTCCATTTATAGGAAACATTCAGATTAGCAAAATTTA